AATCAACAACGATCAACAAATCGAAAATAATAGAAACCGTTACTGCGCACATTTGCTCATTTTGTCTCATTTTGGGCCATCATCAAAAAACTATAAGGGAAATCAAAAAATAACTTTCACAGCGTCCTAACCAGACAAAATTTGTTAGCCCTCTAGTGGTTTTTCGAATGGAGTATGATTGCTGGTAGAAAAGTTACAGACTGCATGAAAAATAAAAAAACAGGACCATATAAAACGCAACGAAATCAATACATTGCTCGCCAAGCCCAACATCTAAACAAAAAATAGTGTGTCATACAACGGACCGGGAAAAAAAAAATTAAAATTAAACAAATAATAATAACCAAAACCGGTTGATTAAATCACCCGGGGGGTGGGAAGACGAGGGCGGTAACGACGAGTGCGCACGAACAATATTCCGGACCGGATGCAACGGTCAATTATCCAATTAGCCTTTCTTTAGGTTTTTTTTTATTTATTACTCGCTGGCCTCACGGATAGCGGACACTGATAGAGTATTACAATCCGTTTGGTTGAGATCGATAAAATTGTACCCGATCTTATCAATAGAATTGACAGTAACCACTACGTTTGATTAATATTTTAGATTCTGAGAATAATATATTTGAATGTTTTTTTTTCAGAAAATACGTTTTTGAAAGCCTCATTGAAAGGATACACCTCCCCTCCCCCCAAAATCATGATCAAATTCGAGAACGCCGCGAACCATTAAAGAACTTAAGGAAGGAATTCATCGAGTCATTGTCAATTCATCGGTGAACTTTGCCCAGACATGTGCGCCCGGAAATTTTTCAGAGCCATGTGTGTTTCCTGACACAAAATGTGTATTCTGAATTACAAATGTGTGCGGCAAATGTTTAACCTGTCCATTTTGAATTTGTATTTTTACAAATAACTGTAATTATAAAAGTATCAATAGCGGCAACGAAATGGTTCGTTAAATTTGTAATTCAACACGTGTCGGACGTCTCAGAAACTTCATAAACTCTCTTGGAAACTTGTCTTACACGTGACGACACGATGACTGTTTAATATTATATGCTACAAAACTGAATTTAAATGCAAAATTATACATGTAAAACCACTTCAATGAGTTTCAAAACTGATTTTATAATTGAAATAATTTCATCTAAATCGTGTGTAAGAGAAATATTGTTTATAATTGTTATCTTAATCGCGGTTATACGTTAGATAACGATATGATAATTTTTTCATCATAATGCCGTTCATAGGCACCAGGTTTTTAAAATGTTATGGGGAGGCTCACTATTTTAGATAAGTACTCATAAACAGTTTTACCCGACTCTTTGCCATATATTCCTTAAAGATAAGGCGGGTTTGTCAATTTCATGGGGGACCGCAGCCCTCAAGCCCCCCCCCCCTACATGGTGTCCCTAATGCCGTTGACAAAACCGGTTTACATGTTGATAAATAATAATGAATAAGTAATTAACATATTGAACACGAAATAGTTTAATAATAATAATTCGAATAGGAGGTAGTAATATTTAACTTGTGTGTAATACTGCAGTCTATGACGATTAACGACTAACAAATTTATAGTAAGGACGTTTTGTATTTTATTGAAAATCGTAAAATTCACGAGATTTCGAGTAATGTATTTTTCGATTTATGTGGATATGAAAACGGTCAGCAATTTGAGAAAAAAAAAATTGCAGACACTTGTAATTTAATTTACAGTTACAAATTAATAGGATATTCAATTCAAGTTTATCGTAATGTGTTTAACCGGATTCCGCTCGAGTTCGTTTTTCGTTATATATTAGTTACGTACAGATATAAATTAAATCACTCTATATAATATATTATACACATACATAAATATATATATTCTGCATTCCCAATTTTTTTACAAACAAGATCCGCTTAAATGTTTAGGTATACCCGACTAAACCCCATCATCATCGTGGTGGGCGTCCGGTTGACCGCCTGACAGTGGCGTGTGCAAGTTTTGGGAGTTTACGCCGTACGCTCATAAACCTTACAATACTCATTACCCGTTTTTAAAAAAAAAAAAAAAAAAAAACCAACTAGAATTAATTAAAAAAACACAATTTTCAAACAATGTAAGCCCAATATAATCGTGACGATACTGAATTGGCTCTCGTACCGACGGCGGTCGCCTTCGTATAATAACTATATAAAAACCGGGACATTTTTCAAGTGTTAGCCAATAAGAGAAAAGCAAATCTGCCACTGCGATTCCGGTAGCACAACGCAGGTATTTATAGTTCCCGCTGTAAATAACGGATCCGGAAACTGAAAAACCCCAACCTGCGGTTTATTCACGGGTAAGTAAAACACCTTATAATTAATCTGTACATGTATACGTCTAGTATACATGTGCATGGCATACTAGGTAGGATCAAAAACCTATACTATACATAATTTTTATGTTTTTGTCAAACTAGAAATCTAAAATAAAACTAAAAATATCGCAACTCGTACTGGATTTGGGGATCGGGCCGCAATGGTAACCGGATGATCATCTTTACAAACAATTGTGAACCTCAAAATTACTTTGTTACTGAATTCTTCATGTATTATACAACGAGTGCATCGATGGTACGACAATAGGAGGGAGGAAAATCAATCCTACCATAAATCTTCTTTTGGGAAACTATCATAAAACCTTTTTTCTCCCGTGACAAATTCCTAATTACGCTACTAAACTCACAATCGCTGGTCTCATAAAAAATTCGACGTAATTATTCGTCTGGTCTACCCTGTTCTCTAGGGAGGAAGAAGATTTAATTTTTACAAAGCAGAATCAATCGGGCTCATTATACTTACCCGTTTTCACCTGTACATAATTCTCTCCTCATTCATCAAAAACATACAAAACAATCGGAGAATTTGTATTATTACGTATACAGTTAGTATACGAGAGAGATTTAAAATGTAATTGCGTAGTGCGCATCAATAGAATTTAAAAAGTCCGTACTACACTTTTATAATGCATAATTGTAGATTTTCATTGTTTTCCAACGAAATAAATGCAGCGTGTATAAATATTGTTTAGGTTTAATTACTGAATATTTCCTCACTTATCAACAACGAATATTTCAGCAATAATACTATTGTGTCGTGATCGTTTAAAATACTTACGAAACAATCGAAGCCAGAATAACCGAACGAATAATTACGAAAAGCCGATACCGTTGGTATCCGCACAGTACCTACCAAATTAAAACCAAAACACACGTTTCGTGGTTTTGCCTAATTGTGAGAAAAACTGCTCGGGGAATCGAAAACCGACTTTTTTACTTTCCAACTGGGTCCGCGAAACGCAACAAAAGAAATATCGTTTGACGTTTTTCGATCGGAACAACCTTTCTGGCAAAACGATTGTCCACGGCGACAGAGAAAATAAAAACACGCACGCGTCATAGTAAAACCAATATACGATCCTCGCCGCATTTAAATCTAATGTGCTTTCGTCGCATACCGAGTGAAAATCATCCGGCTCGCGACGCGAAAAAAAAAATCCCCCTATAATATTATCGCGGTTCGCGTTTAAACTTAACGTTCGCGTTTGACACTGTCGTTTGAAAAAAAAAAAAAAATACAATAGATATCGATGCGCGCGAGCCGTTGTCCGTACGGTACGAAACGCGCATAATTGATTGGGGGCCCGAGGGGAGGCCCGCTTCGAGTGGATCCGCTCGGTTTCGGTTTTCGCGATGCCGGCAGCGCGCAACAACCGTCCGCGTCATTGCGCAAATACACTACGGGCGGTGTGCGGTTTTCAGAGGACACCGTGGCCGCGTCGGTGTGCGCGAACGCCGACGCCGTCGAGAAAAAAAAAAAAAAAAAATGCCGAATTAAAAATGTCGAAAAAGATATCGTTTCGAATTGCGCGCGTTCGCGATCGCCGGACACCGACGCGGTCACTCGGACTCATTCCGTACGGTAATAACCCTCGATTTGTCGCGCGAAGGCACGTCGGGCGGGCGACGGGAAACGTCGTCGAGAACGGCGGTGTTTGACGAAACGAGGACGCCTCTAAGATTTGACGCAACACTATGAACCCGCGAGTGTACGGCCGTATTGGAACCGGGCGCTTGTCGGCTATCGCGCGAAAACGCGGTTACGGGAAAACGCGAAATGTGCCGAAATATCGCGCAGTCGCGCACGCGGGCACGTCGGTTGGCGGCCGTGCAACAAGTTTACGAAAACGTACCGCGGTACGCGCGCGGATGTCGGCGACGTCGGAACAACACCGTGACCGGCCGCCTGCCGCCGATTTTCGGAAAACCGTAAACGGCGACCGTTTTCGTATTTCGTCGTCGCGGAATGTAACGGCGGAACGGCCGCGGTTTCCGGGAATTCGTTTCGATCCGGAGTGCCGGGCAGTGTCGCGGACGGACGCGAGCCGGACAAAACACGCGCGCCCGATTGGACGTTCGTTCCGATTGCGCTTACCGGTAAACGGTCCCGCGGCCGTCGGCCGGAAAGCGGGCGGCCCGTGGACCGACGTCGGTGTTCCGACGTACCGTACGTTATTTTCGATTTTCATTTGCACCGCAGTTAGCGCGCACGAGTGCCCGACACCCGGCATCGAACTAAACGTCCGCGCTATAAATAACCCTAGAATTACGACGGTATAACGGTACCGTACCGAAAGATGCGAAAATTCAGGGACGACGTTCGACGCGTAGATTTTTTTTTGTTTTTTTTTTCTCTGCGTTCGCCGCCAATAAAATAGCACATCCTGTTTCGAGCCAATAATACACCGGCATACGATCAGATAGGGTTTTTTATTTCAAGTTCTTATGGCGTTTTCCGTTTCGGTTTTGCTTTGAATTCGTTTCGATTTCGTTCGCGTCACTGTCGTAACGCACAACCCGCGAACAAAAATAATTAATAATACCGTGGACCGAAAGTACCGAAAGTACTCGTTTGAGGTTTATTTTCGCGAGGCGGCCTAATGTTTTTCGCCGAGATCGCGTCGATCTCTACGCCGAAAGCCGTTGAAATCCGTGCAGTAGATTTGGGTGAAACGGCAGCAAACATGTCCGTCCATCCGCGTGCACGCTCACGTTTAGAATATTAATTAGTACGATTGACATCATACACGTGCTGTGCAACTGTGTACAGCCGGGGAATACTGCGCGCTTGCAGTACGCGTAAACAGCAGCGGGATTAGATTGGGTAGACGGTGTGGACGGCGATTTTGCCAATGACCGTGTACACGAAATTACGTCGTTCGGACCGGCGGCGATCGCGGCGCGTTTGTGCGATGGGGGACGGGGAGGGTCGGTTTCCTCCTGCCGGCGACACAAACGCGTAGGCATATCGACTGCGGGGTAGTGCCCCGGGCCCGGCTCAAACGGCCGCGGTAAAACCGAAAACAGACCGCGCGCCGTACCGTTTTCCCCGCGGATTACTTGCGCAACGCTGCGCGCGTCGCCGCCGGCCGTCCCGCGGCGAGGTCGCCTCGCGACGCACGGAGCCGGCCGTAGTCGCGTGTCCCGCCGACACTCTGCACCGCGTAACGGATATCGGGCGGCGGCTGCGGTACTCGACCGCGTGCGCGTGACGCGATGCGTGTGCGTGCGCGTGACGTGACGTGTCCTCCCGCGCCCGATGAAGACGTCCGGAGTGATGTATTATCATTCGTTTTCGTGCGCGCCGGCGACCCGGCGCGACCGAATATTTTTTTTTTTTATGTTTATCTGATCCGAAAAACGACACGATACCGACCCGCCCCGTAGAGGTCTCGACGACGACGCCGCCGCCGCCGCCGCCGCTTCCCCCACCCCCCATCGCCAACGGTACGAGCGTTCCGTCTCCGGACGACTTCATTCCCCGAAAACGCTCGCGGTCGGTCTCGCGCGCCTACGCGCCGGAAAAACCGCGAGTAACCTACAATAACCTGACGGGGTTGTGGAGTGGGTTGGGGAGAGGAGGGGGGGGGGTCACGATCACGAACCGTCGAACCGAAAACGAACGCGTGAAGTGTTCGGGCCGAGAGAGAACTACGGATTTTCGTCCACACTCGTAGATGACGTACGGTGCAACGGTCAACACGGCAATCGTCGGTGACGGTATTATATTTTATTTTTGAAAACACTACGGCCGGTCGCCGAACGAGCGTGAAAAAAACTGAAATATTTACACGCGCCGTACGCTAGCGTAAAACCGGAATATTCAAGCGTAGGCCCTCCCCCTCTCCGTCCCCCGTATATTCAGTCCGCCTAATGCGCTGCAAGCTTTTCCCTCTTTTCGAGACAAATATTAGGAGAAAAAATGCGACCCTTGTACAATAATGTGTATCGACTAATTCGAAAATTCTACGGGAAACCCTGCACGTCAATGGTTCTGGATAGGAACCATAAGTCGTCGACAATACAAACTAGAACTCGAATTTTCGCAAATGTAAAATTTTTTTTTTTTTTTTTTGGTTATCAACGGTTCTAATACGCAGTTATCCAGTTATACATCGCGCGAGTTAACGTCATATTACATTCTGAGTGGAGGCGAGATATTGGTTTTATAACGGTGGTTTTTTTTTCCTGTCAACTTTTCTACCAGCAATTTTGCTAAGTATTATTAAAGAAAATATACAATGATTTTACCATAACATATGGCATACGTGTATATTGTCGACAAAGCAGTACTATTAACGGAAATCCGGTCCGAATCATTTTTTCGTTAACAACGGTTAACATCAATTTGTACCGGTTTGTTCGCATTTATTTATGGTACCAATTAATTTAAACGCGTAATATTTTATTTGCATATCGATTAAACGCCAAGATATTGAATTTGTATCATCTTTGCTCGTCAAACTAGTCTGGCGTCGACGAATAAGTTAGAATATTGGTCCGCAACATTGACTGTATTGCTGATTTTATTGTGGTATCCGTAAATTATAAAGAAATAACTGTTAGGGATGGCGGGCGGAATTAAGACAATTGAGAGTGGTCAACAGTGGTCAGTCATGGCGGCGGGCGAAACGTTTTACGAAAGTGACCCGTAATGAAAAGTGTTGAGCCGGGAACCACTGCGCCGACCGGACGAAATTCGTTAAAAAATTAAAAAAAAAAAAAAAAAAATCTTGCTCCCGTATCGTTATTCGATCGGCGGCGAGATTTCCGGTAGAAAAACCGTACGGACGGGCGGAAAAATAGAGGCGGGAAATGAAAAGACGCCATCGGACCCGCAGTAACACCGGCAGGTCCGCTCGTTGCGCCCGAAACCCGCCAGAAAAACGTCAAACATAACTGTTGTTGTTAGGCGCCGTGCCCGCTGGACGGACATCGTAAAACGTACCGCCCGACCGCGACGATACGGCGGGCACGGCGAATTACCGGACGGCGCGCACAAAAACGCATGCGCCGGTCGAAAAACAATGTAATGATACCGAGGTGGCGGTACGTTTTGCGGTTGTCGTCGCATTATTTTTATTATTATCCGCCCGGTGGTCGCGGCGGTGACGGCGCGCGCGTTTTTCACGACGGATTTATTGCGGACCCGCGCGGTTTTCATCGTTATTTTATATTTTTTTTTTCTACTATATTTTACGTGTTTTTTTTTTTTTCCCCGTCGTTGTAAATACGATTGTGTTAAACGCGCGCTCGCGACGGATACACGCCGCGCCGTAATCGATTGCGGCGAACAACGGCGCGCGCGTTCGGTTTTTCGTACGGCGTGAAACGCGTACACGCCGCGCGATACGTCACAACCGAAAATATTATAATGGGTTCGCGCGTCCGCGGTCCGTTTTTTTTTTTTTTTTTCATTTCCTTCATCCTGTCCGATGTGCACCGCGCACCATATAAATTATAATGATATTATTGTTGTTGATACTACCGCGCGGTGATTTGAGAGGAGAATGTTCTCACAACGTTTTGCATTCGTTGTCCGCTACCGCGATACCGGACAACCACCTTAAATATATTCTCATTAAAACGTAAAAAAAAAAAAAACCATTAAAAACGTAAAAAAAATGATAGAGGGGTTTAATAAAGCCTCTCGCTCTTTAATAACTTTGACTTATTGTAACCAATTACATAAACTACACTGCAAACATATAATTAACACGCGAGTGTTTTATTTGAATAACATACTTTGTGTTAATTATTTTTGTAGCGTTAGAAAATTCGGTTTAACAAGTCGGAGCTGTTAGCGGGAGAGTGAGACTTTCCCTCTGTCGTGGTTTTTAAACGCTTTGTTTTACGTTTTTAAGCATTTGTTATTATTATTATTTTTTTTTTTTCTTTTAAATTGATATTAAGAGAATATAATTCCGGGCTTTGGTAATAACATAATAATCATTCTGTTTAAATTACACGCGCCGTTATTTTCAATTGAAATACGATCTTACAGGTTATTATAAAAATCTAGTTTGTTTGCGAAGAATGCCACGAATGAATTACGAATGCTATACATTTATGGTAAACTATAATCAGAATTATGTAGAATATGTGAGGCTTGGGTATGCAATAGTGTTAACGTTTTGTCATTTTTTCGAGCATCTAACTGTACATTATTTGAAAAAAAAAATTTTAATTTCCGAAGATTTTCCTTTAATGAGAATATGCTCGCAAAAGATTATTACCGTAAATCGTAATACAAAAACATTAAATATAACGGACATAACCATCTCTACACAATTAAGTAAAATACGCCACTTTTGGTTAAACAAATTTTTTGAAAAAGATTCTACTTTCAATTACATAATCTACTAAAATATAACAAAACCGTATCGACTGTTAAAAACGATTTTCAAACGATTTTTGGATGATACAAGAGCGGCCAATTTCAGGTATAAATACTATTGTTATTATCAGTCGGCGAAATAATATGGCGCACCTGACAGACGACGTACCATTACGTAATAACACCACAGATTATATGTCACTAAAGGGTGCACTCCCTATTCGGCCCATGTAATTCTCAAAAAAGTAAACAAATAAAACCCATCTCAGATCAGTGTCACCACGAACGGGGAAAATAAGTCTTTATGAGAAATTGACGAATAATTATTCGTTATAGATAGTCAATTCATAGCCTTTCTCTACTTCTCCGGTCTGAACATTGAACTGTGATAAACAATTATTAACAATTATGGTAAAAGATGTTGTGCGTTAATTTATTTCGCCTATGTGAAGCTGTACTGCTTCGAGATAGGCTAGTGTTTTCAGTAAATCGAGAAGTGTATAAAACCATTGTATTTTATAACACCGTCTGGTTTTATGTAATCTGTGATAATACTATTGTATATTGTTATACTAGTGTGCAGTGCAATTTTACTCGTAATAACTGATAACACTGTTTACACCATAGCAAAGCTGCTATCACATTAAACGAATATCATAAATGGTTTAAAAAAACCGACGGAATCGACTCAATTTTAAAAATTAACAATAAATTTAATTATTTTAAGCATCCACGGAAAAAAAAAAAAAACTAACTTCATAGTACAAATATTTTGTGTAACTTAACCTAACCCACTATATTGTATGTATGTATGTATGTATGTATGCATGCATATGTATGGCTAAACTCACGAACGAAAAAGCAGATACGTGTCATCCCGGTCGATGGGGTGGGGAAAGGGTGAGGGGTAAGTGGTTACGACCTCGGGCGTTTGATTTGGCACGGGCGAGGCCGTGCGGGTACAGCTATATAGTAATATGTTATTACTTAAATCATAAACTTGCATATTATTATTATAGTTTCATCGCTTATTCGTTTTTTTTTTCATCGTTTTTCGTTCTCCGCGGCCGGGGCAAAATAATCGTTTTGTCGATCTCTCGAATATAATATTTACATTGTAACAACGTTACGAAAACCGTTTAACGCGCGAGCGCAAGCGTTAATTGATTGTTTCGTGTACATTATATATTATGCGTATACCTAGTACCCGCGTATAATAATAATATCCGTTCAATTTCCCCGCCGAAACCGTATAATTTAAAAAAAAAAAAACGTTTCCAGCCCATTCATGATGACCACAATGGTCGTACACGCCGAGTGGTATCCATTAACAAGACGATAAGCACGGGTACCTATATATTTTTAGTATCGTGCCTTGCCCGGAGCGATCGCGTATACGCATTATACACATTGTACACGTATAGGTATACCCGTTCCATTGCTTTCTGTATTGCGACGCGAACTTAGCCCTCCACGCCGGAAATCGAGATGCCGATTTCAAAACGTACGAAATTTGTTTAATTTTTTTTTTTTTTTTTACTCTCCTTTATACGTATCGGCGCAACTAGGGGTGGGCGTGCATAGGGGATTTGCGATACCCCCAAAGAACGTTTTTCTACTGCACTTTAATCGTTTCGATTTCGGAGTGTATACTATCAATAATTTCACAAAATATTGTACCACACTGTATATACGATACTGATATGCTCACTGCTGAGATTTGTATTTATTTTAGATTCTGTGTGAAGCGAGGAATGTATTGGTTTTTCTGCGATGTTCATTATTTGTTTTTTTTCAAACGTTTTTATCAACTGAACTCTGCTCAGAATCGTTTTTCCGCCATCAATGGTTTATCATTGCTTACAGTCTACAGATATGCATTAAATTCCCGTCTGTATCATGCCTTCTCAACTTCCCAGCTACCACAGTGGCTGCACCCACGTACAGGGTATGTTCGTTTTTTTTTATTTATTCTTCCAAACGAAAAGATAATAAACAGATACCTAATAACTATATAGAATATGAATCACATCGATTTCAAGATAATACATACACGCTATCTGCAACATGTAGTAGCCATTATGTCAGGCTTAATTTAAAGTTACAATAATGATGAAATGATGATTTTCAAAAATTGTTTGCGTAGAAATTTCAGTTTTGATGATATTAAAAAAAAAAAAAAACATTAAAAAAGTAACACAGTAATTCTGATTGGTTGTAGCCTTGTAGGTACCACCATACCAGTAAGTTCGGCTACTGTCCGGAGCAGTTTCTCCTGCAGTGTTTGACGAATTAAAAATCGACTATACGTACAAATATACTACAACAAAAATTTACCGATTTATCAATATTAAATATCGAGCGAGGTATAACGAATGGTTTGAAAAGTGCATACATTTTAAGTATATATGATTTGCATTGAAGAAAATTTGTCTTTTGTCCGAAAACATATATTATACGGAACGGACGTATATGCAGTATGGAAGGGAAAAATCCGGTTACGTCGAAGTTTAAAAATCCGGAATCATGTAATTCTGAATCCAAAATCCGGATTTTGGATTTTGAAACATTTAATTAGTATTATTTTAGATATTACTTATAATAAAGTTTTGATAACTGCACTTAGATTTTATAAAAAAAAAAAAAAAAATAACAATAATTTTTTTAATTTTGATACACAAATCTACAATGTTAAACGGAGAATTCGTATTTTTAAAAATCCGTAAATCTAAAATTCGAATTCATAAACCGAAATCGGGATTTTTCGGATTTTCGGATTCATGTCACACCACTAATAACAATAATAATGCAGTATGTATACTAGGGGACACTGGGAAAAATCCAGATGCGCCAAAATTCGATAGTGTGTTTAAAAATCATTTATCACGCGATTTTTTTTTTTTTTCTGACCATAGAAAATTACGAAAATATAACGCGATATCGGATTACTGCGGGATTTCGAAAAAACCCGAAATCCGTATAATCCCGCGCCGTCCGGAATCCGGTCACGTCGCGCCGACATAACATACCCGGTGCGTTTTTTGTTTTGTTTTTTTTTTCTCTCGTCCAGGCTACCGCGACACCGTCGAATACGATACGGCCGGCGTGTAATATACGCGTGGTTAACGAGTGTCGGAAGCCCCGGCCGTCGTTTAACCGCGCACCGTGTACGGTAACAGTACGTTTTATTGGTACCGTACGGGCGTATGGTATGCGCGCGTAAACACGCGTGTACAATGTCAAACCCGTCGTGTTCTTTCCGTCCGCGCGCCCGCGCGACGATAATAACAATAATAATAATAATAACAATAATAACAATAATAATAATAATAATAATGATAATACGTAATGATGATAATGATAATGATACTCCGTCCGAAGATATCCGTCCCTACCACCGTCGCCCGCCCGCCGCGGGCCGGCCCGGCCCGCGCGTCCGACACCTCTACCGCGTCGGCGGCGGCGGCGGCGGCGGCGCGCCGGTAGGTATAAAAATCGTTCGGCGCCAGTGCGCGGGCGAAGAATCCGTCTCGTCGCGCCGTCGTCGCCGTCTTCCGCCGGCCCGTTCTCCGACGTCGACGACGCCGCCGCCGCCGCCGCCGCCGCCGGATTCCTGTGCCTACACGCATAATACCGCCGTGCGTATGCGTGCGCGCACCGTGCCGTGGCCCGGAGCGCGGGGCACGACCGCCGCCGCACACCTATGCCCGTTGCCGGCGGCGTTTTTTCGTACGCGCGCGCCCGCGCCCATGCAGACGATAGACCGGCCGTACGCGTTCATAATACCTGGTATGCGCGTGTGTGTGTGCGTGCGTGTGCGCGCGTTTAATATGTTCGGTAACGTACCCGATACCGGCCGCACGTACGCGCGCGCGCGCACACACACACACACACACACACACGCGCGCGCGCGAAAGGTACGTTGCCGCGGCGGTCGTGTCCGTCCGTCCGCGGCTCGCATTCCGCGCGCGCCGCCGTTACCCGTGTACTGTATCAGGGCCCGAGCTTTACACGTGCGTACGCGTGTGCACGTTATAGACTGCGAGACGTCCGGCAATACACATCGGGCGATCGACAAACAACCAACAGAACGCTCTTAGAAAAACTCCGCTGTAAATGCCCCGTCAAAAAAAAAAATAATAATAATAAAGCCTTAAATGGCCCGTTGGGAGCTGAAAATATATTTTTTTAGAAAATTAGTAAAACTGTCGGTGGAAAGCAAAACAAAAAAATAAAAAAACCAACATAGATACTTCGCACGCGGGTGCAGCCACTGTTGTAGGTGAGAAGTTGGGAACGTAAGATACAGAAAGGAATTTAATGTAGATCAGTAAGCATGAACGATAAACCATTACAAACGAAAAAGCGATTATGAGCAAAGTTCAATATAGTAGCTTAATATGTTTGAATATAGCTCGGTCTACAGTATTGCTTTTTCAAAAACGTGCGTTTCCGTGACAACAAACATCGTTTGAAAAAGATTAAAACAATAAAAACTTAATAACAACAAAAAATAAATAAAAACAGTCGCCAATGACAACCTTAAATTTAACCTTTTAATCCTTTGTTAACCTAAAAACCGAGGTTTTCCTCGTCATCTCAAATATTAATAAAAAATTTCAACAAATAACTTCTTTAAAGTAACACCCAGAGAACATTTCTTTTCAGAAAAGGTGCGGTACACGATAAACGCAATATACTTTCTGGTAGAAAAAATGTTCACATAAAAAAAAATTACCATCATTATAAAACCAAAACATACCTCGTTCAACTCAGAATCTAAAAAAAAAAAAAACTGTCCTAGGATAATGGGGAAGCGTGCAGCCAATATTCGGATATAGTGGGGAAATTAATTTCTATCAATAAGCAACGATTAACAAGGTAGTGGTCAAGAATAAATCCGACGTTTCGCCATTCGCCGGTCGGGTTTTTATATTTTTAAAAAAAATTTGTCGAGAATCTAGAAGAATCTTTCTAATCGCCTAATGACAAATCCGCATCTTTTAATGAACAACTACGCCAATTATTTGGAGGATTTTTACTAATCGATAAGGCGTTTTCCAAAAAGACAAACGCACGTTTCAGTAAAACTAATAATCCCCTTGCTCGGAATTTAAAATACAATTTTAAATTCGCGCGGTTTTTGTCACGGGAAATCGCGGGTATCCAGTGGTCTAAAATCGCGACGTTCGTGATGTGACGTCAACGGCTCGTATAGACTAGGCCGCGAACCGACACACGTTTATCGACGACAAAAAATATACCTAAATTCATATGAATATGCGAGCGCTCGCCGAAAAGCTATGCATTAACATTCACTGGAAGAGCGAAAAAAAACCACTTTCCCGCGTGAAAAACGACCGTAATAAATTATTATTACTGTTATGAATGAACGAGGCGCGGCGGCGGCGGCGGCGGCCTCGACAACCGGATCGTTTTTCATCCGGTCGACGATTAAAACGATTATTAATTAACGCCGAAAAAAAAAAAAAAACTGGTTTTTTTTCCTTTTCATTTTTCATAACTCGTTCTCGTTCGGTCTATACGTGCCCGTACATATATTTTCGCCGCCGCCGCGTACGCCAGGTACCACCACGCAATGCGTCCGTCTGTATTTTTATCAACGGATTCCCGAGGGTATTGTCGGAGTATAACTTTTTTTTGATACAAAAATAATATTGAAGGTGTGAATTTAATACGCCGGAAAACCTTTGAAAACACGCATTTAAATTACGTACCCGGAAAGCAATTGCAACTTGTAAAACAAACCACTCGCGTGCAGTAGATCTCCGGTTAATATAATTGAATTTTCCCGGGACTTTTTTTTTTTTTTTTATATACATTAAAGAAATGTTCTTTGTGAAACAATAAATAGCCTGCTGTTATAATTTACGACACACGATAATGCTGTTCCACAATAAATGTTATATTATTCCAAACGAATGGTGAAATGTTAACAATAAGACGGTAAAAAAGTGGTGAAAGTTAAAATCACCAAAGGCACATCTTTGTTGACACTATAGGCAATAATGATTACATTATATGCCACACCGGGATGTATTTTTTTGAGTCGAAATGGTTTTAAGATATAGATTAATAAGCAAAGTGAACTTTAAATTTGTTTTATGCAGGGACTCCAAATATAATTATTATTATTTTTCTTTTTTTTATTGATCATAGATGCATCGGCTACTAACTAGGCTATTAATTACATACATTTTACATTATGGTTTATGCTTAAATTAAATTATATATTGCTAATTTTTGCATATTTGAAGTATTTCAGATTAACCATGCTAATTTTTGATAATTTGGATGGTATATCGTTATATAACGATTTATTTCATATTTTTCATAAATAATAGACAAACCATGTCATTTATGAGGAATCCATTAGAAAAATACCTACATTTTCTTTTCATGTTATAATATGTTTTTAAGTAGCCCCGCGTGACACATCGCGTACAGTATATATTTATAATTTCTTATCGGTTACATTTACGTATTTGAAAAAACGATTTTGCTTTTTTGTTATATTTTTATGTTTCTATGACACATAATTATCGCGTATATTTCAGTTATTTTCAGTGCTTATAAAATCCGAGTCCTGATTATCACAAATATCGTTTGTCTGGGCGTGCTATTGGTAAATCGGTGTCGGACGAAATACCTTAAAATACAATAGTACATTAACAATTATTGACTCTCGACTATCAACTTGTCAACTATTATTACAACAGTACAATAGTTATAATAGTATAACAATCGCGTTTTTATTTTTATTTTCACGTAATTTTGAAATTCCTCGGCGAACAGCGATAAATGCAATGCGTTTGAAATCGAAAGATTTATGTTTTTTTTTTTCGGTTACCTGCCCTGTATTCGAATTCAGAATAACCATAATAAATATTGTTACACTACGTCAATATACGTATACGAAAGTAAGGAACGCAATAAAATTGTACTGTAATATTATTTATTGAGTACTGGCGTGCCGCCCATCAGCGGTAGTCCGTCGGACGCCAATGTACGTAAAATAAAATAAAAAAAAAAAATAAAAAAATATTGATATTTCTCCGTCGCGATCGGATTATTATTATTAGTCGTTATCGTTATCTCGACGTAATCCCGGACTTACGAGCGCCACGTGCGCCGTTCCTCGTCCGTGTATAGAGCGGACCCGGTCTTACGAAAATTATTATTAATTTATAGGGCCGCCGAGAATGACGTCGTGCTGCGGGCGTACATGTATACGTGTATGTTAATAATTTTTTTATTTTTTTTTTCAAATACCATTTTAGTCCAGACGAACGTCCGGCCACGAACCGGTATAATCTGTAATAACTAATAACAATAAAAATGATTGTTTTTTTTTTTTTTTCCGTTATAAATATAATATTATAATACGGGGCGCCATCGTGATGGCACGCGTAGGATTATCGTTAATATTAATTATTAGATTCTGATGGTATAACCGAGAAGAGTTATTATAGTTTAACGAGAACGATTTTTTTTTTCTTGTAAAACACTTTTACGGTTGTTAGTAAAAACGATCAGATATTTTCACGCAGTACCTCGAAACATGTAGTTCTTTCGTCTAACAGTACGCAATAATGTTTTTGTGATGTTAGTGTGTAAATACTGAATACTTAAATAATTGGCTGTTGCTATTAACGGTTAGTATTATCCGTAATTCGGGCGCATAATTTCTTCAGATATAATATTGTGTTTGCATTATAATATTCATTTGCATGTGCTAAAATAATATTTGGTGATAAACAATGATATACAAAATTTCAGCTGATGTATTCTTGATTAATTCAAAATCCGATTATTATTAAAACGTAATATTCTACTTGGAAGTCTTCTAGTGCGAGGCTCTAGACAAATGTCCAAGATTCTGAGCGGAGCGATGAATGTATTGGTATTACAATGATGGTTATTTGAATATTTTTTCCACGAACAACTATTCTACCGAAAATTTCGCTCCGATTTTCAATTGTACCACTTGTTCTGAAAGGAAATTTGATAGTAGTACTTTAGGGAGGTCATTTTTTAGTTTCTCCAGGGGTTTCATAATAAATAGATAAAACCAAGAAAAAACGTAAGAAAACCGAAAAATTTACAAAATTTATTATAATCAAATTGTAAATATTACGGCTTTTCAAAACATGTATAACCGAACTCCGCTCAGAATCGGTTTTCGTTAGCAAAGATTAATCATTGCCTACAGATACACATTAAATTCCTCTCTATATCCTACCTTCCCAACTTCTCACCAACAACAGTGGCCCACCCATCGTGTGAAGTATGTCCGTATCTTTTTTTTATGGTATTTCTATCCGTCGGGTTTTTACTTGGGACTTGGAAAATTAAGAGCACTGAGCAGGCAACTAATTCGACAACATATTCTTTTCTTTTTCATTTTTGTGATATGTGACCAATTGTTGTAAAATCATACCGACAAGTATAATCCTCGGCACTCGTCTATTTTGGTTTCCATCAATCCGGTGATGAGATATATTACTTTTAAGTTTGAATCGGGGGAGAGTAGTGGTATAATTTTAAAACAACGCATGCCGTACTGCCACGCGTGTGATATTATCAGTATCACGATATAGATCATATTCATCAGTGACAATAATTATTAAAGTATTCGTTAATGCGTAATGTTGCCAGTTCTATTAGTTATAATCTGTACTAAAAACATAATATATGCATGTACATGTGTAAATAGCGGGTTTATTGACATGACCCATAACATACCAAAATGCATCATATTTTTTATAGTTATTTTTATTTTAATAAAATCGATAACGCTTTGCTTTAAATGCCGTCGTTGCTATCAGAGAACATTAAAAACGATACGTCGTTGCGGGAGAGAAAATAATACGTATTTTGTTCG